CGGAGGGTTGTTATGGCAGCGAGGGACATGCTACTGAATGAATGAATGAATAAACCAGCTGACCATGATTCATTTGGGTATGTCAATATAGGATTTGTCCAGCTTTTAAGAATTCTCTTGCTCATTTCAATTGACAAAGAACAACAGCACAACATTTTCTACACTTGGTAAAATGCTGCATTCGCTTGTGCTCTTCTAGATCACTCTTGCAGGTACTTCCATTCGGTGTGGCTTAGAATGACCACACGTCCTGTTTTTACCAGGAGTCCCAATTTTTTTTAGGTGTGCCATGACGGTACTCCAAAAAGAACGCCAACTGTCTCGTTTTATACAAAATATTTTCATTAGCTAGAGAATTGGTTAGTTGCGTATCCTTTACAGGACGTCCCAGCAGCCCCTGACTGTTGTGTGGTTTTTCTAGGCAAATTTACGTCCAGTAGTTTGCCACTGCTTCCTGGACGGTCGGCGCCCTGATACCACTGTCGAAACCAACGCAAGGCGCATGGCCCGCAGCTGGGATCAAACCCGGTACCCCGGCCTTACGAAGAGCTAGAGAATAGAACATACAATTATATCTGTAGATGTTATTAGAGTCTGCAGTTTTACACACTTGGGTTGCCTGAAAAATGGTGGTGAAAATTTTCATTGTAGCATATTTTGTCCCCAATGCAGTTAAAAAGCAAATTGTTTAGTTATTTTTAAATTTCAGTGTCGAGCGAGCATTTTACAAGAGCAATCCCATTGAACTAGACACACACACAAAAACCGGAGTTAAACTGACTTAAACTGTCCCGTTTTCGGCCCAGATTATTAGTGAGATTTCTGTTTTTAGCTCAAAATATTAAGGTGACTCTATTTATAGGCTACAACTATCATCTACAGCTAATGTAGACGCTGTTGGTTTCACTGCCTGCACTGTTATTATTCAACTTCTGTATTCCTAAGTGATGCATGACAACCGCACTATAGGCGTGAATTCAAAGGTACATACTAGAATGACGCGTTCCAAGTACATTTTTGGTGGTGTCTTTTTAATGAGGGTATTGTTCCAGGCAGTAGCCTAACTAGCTTCTCCTTTTCGGTTGCTAAGTGCTAAAATAATTTTCACATGTGCATTTAGGTCATCTGGGATGATATGTCTTTGTCTGAGATGGTTATTCGTACTTCTGGTCATCTGGGGTGATATGGCTTTGTCTGAGATGGTTATTCGTACTTCTGGTCATCTGGGGTGATATGTCTTTGTCTGGGATGGTTATTTGTAATTCTAGTCATCTGGGGTGATATGTCTTTGTCTGGGATGGTTATTTGTAATTCTAGTCATCTGGGGTGATATGTCTTTGTCTGGGATGGTTATTCGTACTTCTAGTCATCAGAGGTGATATGTCTTTTTCTAGATGGTTATTCGTACTTCTAGTCATCTCCTCCTTGACCAAAAGACTGGGTGGCACATAGTCATCTGGAGATAGCTACTTTGTCCTGGGATCCTGACATCCGTTATTTGTAATTGACTCCGTCATCTACGATGATATGTCAATGTGTCTGAAATCCGTATGGTGATAAATCCGTTGTAATTATAATGTGAACGTGATATCCGTCATAGGAAGTGATGGGTGAACGTGATCCTGTCTCCGTACGATGTGAACTGAGACATGTACGATGTAAACCTGATCCTGACATCTGTACGATGTGAACGTGATCCTGACATCCATACGATGTGAACCTGTTCCTGAAATCCGTACATTGCGAACCTGATCCTGACATCCGTACAATGTGAACCTGATCCTGACATCCGTATGATGTGAACGTCATCCTGACATCCATACGATGTGAACGTGATCCTGACATCCGTATGACGTGAACGTGATCCTGATATCCGTATGACGTGAACCTGATCCTGAAATCCGTACGATGTGAAGTGATCCTGACATCCGTACAATGTGAACCTGATCCTGAAATCCGTACAACGTGAACCTGATCCTGACATCCGTATGACGTAAACGTGATCCTGACATCCGTACGATGTGAACGTGATCCTGACATCCGTACGATGTAAACGTGATCCTGACATCCGTACGATGGGAACTAATCCTGACCTCCATAGATGTGAACGTGATCCTGACATTCCTACAATGTGAACGTGATCCTGACATCCGTACTGACAACCTGATCCTGTCCGTACAGTGATGTGACATCCGTACGTGATCCTGACATCCGTACGATGGGAACTAATCCTGACCTCCATAATGTGAACGTGATCCTGACATCCGTACGATGTGAACTGATCCTGAACGTTGTGAACCTGATCCTGATCCGTACGATGTGAACGTGATCCTGACATCCGTACCTGAACGTGATCCTGATCCGTACGATGTGAACGTGATCCTGACATCCGTACGATGTGAACGTGATCCTGACATCCGTACGATCCTGACATCCGTACGTTGTGATCCTGACATCCGTACGATGTGAACGTGATCCTGACATCCGTACGATGTGAACCTGATCCTGACATCCGTACGATGTGAACGTGATCCTGACATCCGTACGATGTGAACGTGATCCTGACATCTGTACGATGTGAACGTGACCCTGACATCCGTACGTTGTGAACGTGATCCTGACATCCGTACGATGGGAAGTGATCCTGACATCCGTAGATGTGAACATGATCCTGACATCCGTACGATGTGAACGTGATCCTGACATCCATACGATGTGAACCTGACCCTGATATCCGTACGATGTGAACCTGATCCTGACATCCGTACGATGTAAACCTGATCCTGACATCCGTACAATGTGAACGTGATCCTGACATCCGTACGATGTGAACGTGATCCTGACATCCGTACGATGTGAACGTGATCCTGACATCCGTACGATGTGAACGTGATCCTGACATCCGTACGATGTGAACCTGATCCTGACATCCGTATGATGTGACGTGATCCTGACATCCGTACGATGTGAACGTGATCCTGACATCCGTACGATGTGAACCTTATCCTGACATCCGTATGATGTGAACCTGATCCTGACATCCATATGATGTGAACCTGATCCTGACATCCGTAGATGTGACGTGATCCTGAACTGAACCCAAATGAATCTAAGTTGAGGATCGATTCTAGTTAAATAGCCCATCAGCCAGCCAATCAACGACAAAGGCAACAATTCCGGCAACCATGAAGACAAACATTCACCTAGTGAACAAATCACCGAATGAACCGTACATAATGCGTATGCACTATTTGTGCGTGTGTGTGTTCAACATCCCAGACACGCACTCAAGCACACAACCTCCGAGCAACCTCATACACATTCACTTACCTGCCGTTCCCGGGCAAACCTCAGCTTGCAACTGGTGGATGACTTCACAGAGCTCCTAGATCGCCTGGAGGTTCTGCAGCCTTCTCTCGTTCTGGGCTTTTTAAATGGAGACAGGCCAGACAAGACCTCGCTCTTGTCATCTATGAAGCTGTTGTCCACCATTAGAGCGATCGTGGCCGGATCAGCAAAGCTGGATGATTTGTTGGATCTGCGGGAGGTGGTGCTTCCTGTTGGTTTTAGAGAAGACTTTGTACGTGGACGAGGGTGCGGAACGTTTTATATTGTTTGTTGTTTCTAGGTAATCATGTCTTTCAAAAGTCTCATCTGTTTGCTGTGGGACATTTTGTATTCTTAGAGAAAGAAGGACGCTGTTTGTGTCTCCTGTATCTAAGTAATCATGTATCTTATCTGTTTGGCGGCTGGGCGTGTCTTTAAGTGAGAAGGTACTAGAGCCAAGTGGAAACTGCACTGAAGAAGCTCGATTTCCATCAGAGATGTTCTTTTGCAGAAGGTCAGCTGGGTGGGGTCTGAGATGGGAAGACTGGCTTTGGTGAGGTAGTTGTGGTGATGTGACGCTTTCCTCGCTGGGTGAGAGGGTTGTCTTGAAGGCACACTGGGAGTCTGAGGTGGGGTGTGGCATCTGTGTCTTGCTCATCATATATCTATCGAATGTAGCCTGATGCCCATCACTTGGCGGAACTAAAAGACATGGTTCACTTTTGATCAATCGTTTGTTTGCTTCTAAACTGTAACATGAACACTCGTCCACGCTGCCGGAGAAGAATGAGTTTTGAAAACATCCGGTGCAAGATGTGTAGGAAAACGGTGCACGAGAAACAACATGTCCCAGCTCGTCGTTTGACGGAGCAGGAATTAATAAATCGAGCTTATGAGGTGAACGAACTCCAATTGAATCGTTGTCTTCCTTGCAGTTTCTTGTTAACTGCTTTGCGTGCAAACTGTCGCTGATTGAAGACCATAAACCCGCGTCGCTCTCACGGCAGTTAGTAACGCGCAAGTCTGGATGGCTGTTTGCACTTGTTATGTCAAGTCTATTGTCATAAAAGTAAGACTGCCGTGGTGGAAGGCAGAAAGAACGACATTTCCTTGACTTATTGCCATTGTTATGTTTCAAAACACAGCTATCTCCCTTGCTACCATTGTAAGAAAACACAGTTAAGTAGTCGTGTTTCCCATCCCTTTCGTCTACAGAATCGTCCAACCCGTTTTGTCCGAAATATTGATTTACACGCAGAAGAAGATTGGAATCGCTCAGAAGATTAGTATCGCCCGTTGACTCTCGCGAAATGCTGCCCCTGTCAGTGTTTAGACGTTTTCTGCAAGAATCGACACCATTAGTATTCGAAAATGTTTTTTTGCTGGCGGTTAGCGTCGTTTGGTTGGCACCGAAATCTGCCAAACCTTCTCTCGCTAACCCAGAACCGCAACTACAATTGATATTGCCTATAGAATTATTCCTTGTGTATGAAGGAAGTAACGATGTACCATCTGTGTTGTGTTCAGTATCAGTTCGTATAAATTCCTTCTCATCGCAGCGATGCAAGAAGACGCCATCTTCGATTCCTCCAATGTTGTGAAGAACTGATACCGCCTTGTTCTCTAGTCCCGTTGCGTGATCTGGGTCAGTGATGATTTCTTGGCATGTATACTCCTCTGCTACCATGGAATGCAGATTTGCAGCTTGCACTGCAAGATGTGACTTCGTCCTCGCTAGTTTCCCGTCGACTGTGCCACTTGTTGTCTGGCCTATCGCACAAGATGATCTCTGCTTCAGAAACGTCGATTTTCACATCTGTACTTCGAAAACCAGTTTTCCCATAATCCTCCACATAACTGAGATTGGCATTATTGTATCTGCTGTCTCCACTGCCCGCCATGTTGGCATTTAAGTATAAAAACTCGTTGCTTGTCTTACCCTCAGTCTGGTTTTTATTTTGGGTACGACGTCTCATGTTTAGCTTCACAGGGAAAAACTTCAAAATCTGGTGCCACAAGTTAATACGATGAAACAGATACGTTTTTACTTCCTGCTTATTTTCTTGTTTTGCGGACAAGTTGAGTCCATTATTTTCTAACAACTTTTGTTTCAGTTTAATTTTCTGGTTGATTTTTTGACACACACTGGCATATGCAAACGTAACAATCAAAAATGAAACTACATAGCAACCGAATATAGAAGTAAAGAATATTTTGGTAACAGTCGTTTCTCTGATTTCACTGATGTAGCAATAAGAATCCATGATTCCACCGAAGAAAGGCGCCAGACAAATACTAGCAGAGATGACAACAGTGATCACGCAGACGTTTCTGGCCATCGTTGGGGTCAGGGATGATAATCCAGGGCGACAAATCTTTGCGTACCGGTCCAGGGCGATGATCGCCAGCAGCAGACAGGAAGCAAACATGGCCGTCAGCTGCAGCCAGTACTCCAGTGTACACAAGAAGTTGGCCTTCCACGGAAGCGGGATCATCAGACAAGACCTGATGTAAAGCGCGGGCGAGCAGAAACAAACAAAGGCGTCGGTGATGCTCATTGTCAAAATAAGCCAGTCACAGGCGGATTTGGATAGCTCTCTGCCGTAAATAATGGCCACGATGATGTTGCCGGGAACTCCAATTGAAGAAATCGTCAGTAGGTATGTGACCATTGGCACTTTGAACCACCAGGAGAAATGTTCGAGTTTATTGTCTAGTATGAGATCTGTGCTGTTCATATTTCCGGTTAAACTAGGCTTCATCTATCATATATTACTTGAAATGGCCAAGCTAGGCACATAAAGATCGTGTCTCTTCATCTATCATATATTACTTGAAATGGCTAAGCTAGGCACATAAAGATTGTGTCTCTTCATCTATCGTATATTACTTGAAATGTCTCAATGGTGACCTCCAGTTTCCCAATACAACGCCCTCAGTGCTCTAGTAGTTGAGGCTAAACACAAAATAATTAAAATTTATGGTTTGCATTTCATTTCCCTATTTCTATGGGTGACTTCTCGTACTGACATGTGGGCAGCATCTTCTACGATAAGAGAGTCTGTAGCAATAGGATTCAAATTACTGCTGGATGACAGTCTGGTTGCGTGTACCAACATGGATGACAGTCTGGTTGCGTGCACCAACATGGATGACAGTCTGGTTGCGTGCACCAACATGGATGACAGCCTGGTTGCGTGTACCAACATGGATGACAGTCTGGTTGCTTGCACCAACATGGATGACAGTCTGGTTGCGTGTACCAACATGGATGACAGTCTGGTTGCGTGTACCAACATGGATGACAGTCTGGTTGCGTGTACCAACATAGATGACAGTCTGGTTGCGTGTACCAACATGGATGACAGTCTGGTTGCGTGCACCAACATGGATGACAGTCTGGTTGCGTGTACCAACATGGATGACAGTCTGGTTGCGTGTACCAACATGGATGACAGTCTGGTTGCGTGCACCAACATGGATGACAGTCAAGTTGTATGTACCAACATGGATGACAGTCTGGTTGTGTGTACCAACATGGATGACAGTCTGGTTGTGTGTTCCAACATGGATGACAGTCTGGTTGTGTGTACCAACATGGATTTCAGGTTAGTCTAAGTACTTTAGATTAATGCTGTCCTGACATTTCTTGAAGCTGACTGGTTTATTCTTGTTCTTCGGCTGGCCCAGTATCCATATCCTTTTGTGTGTGTGGTTGCATGCTGTTAAAGTATTTCTATAGTACTGTATGGCGTGAGCATTAAAGCGACTGCGGAACATCCTAGTAACGCCTGTTTTCCTCACTCTGACAGTGACGTCTGCTACCTCACTCTGGCAGTAACGTCTGCTACCTCACTCTGGCAGTGACGTCTGCTACCTCACTCTGACAATGACGTCTGCTACCTCACTCTGACAATGACGTTTGCTACCTCACTCTGACAGTGACGTCTGCTATCTCACTCTGTCAGTGACGTCTGCTACCTCACTCTGACAGTGACGTCTGCTACCTCACTCTGACAGTGACGTCTGCTGCCTCACTCTGACAATGACGTCTGCTACCTCACTCTGACAGTGACGTCTGCTATCTCACTCTGACAGTGACGTCTGCTACCTCACTCTGACATTGACGTCTGCTACCTCACTCTGACAGCGACGTCTGCTACCTCACTCTGACAGTGACGTCTGCTACCTCACTCTGACAGTTACATCTTTCACCTTACTCTGTCAGTGACATCTGCTGGCACACTATGTCAGTTACGTCTGCTGCCTCACTCTGTCAGTGACGTCTGATACCTCACTCTGACAGTTACATCTTTTACCTCACTCTGTCAGTGACATCTGCTGGCACACTCTGTCAGTGACATCTGCTGGTACACTCTGTCAGTGACGTCTTCTACCTCATTCTGACAGTGACGTCTGCTACCTCACTCTGTCAGTGACATCTGCTGGCACACTCTGTCAGTGACGTCTGCTGCCTCACTCTGTCAGTGAGGTCTGCTACCTCACTTTGTCATTGACGTCTGCTCCTTCACTCTGTTCGTGAGGTCTGCTACCTCAGCCTTTCAGTGACGTCTGGTGCCTCAGTCTTTCAGTGACGTCTGCTGCCTCAGTCTTTCAGTAACGTCTGCTGCCTCACTCTGTTCGTGACGTCTGCTGCCTCAGTCTTTCAGTGACGTCTGCTGCCTCAGTCTTTCAGTGACGTCTGCTGCCTCAGTCTTTCAGTGACGTCTGCTGCCTCACTCTGTTCGTGACTTCTGCTGCCTCAGTCTTTCAGTGACGTCTGCTAACTCAGTCTTTCGGTGACGTCTGCTGCCACACTCTCATTGGAAGTAATAGACACAACAATGACAAAAATGTTCACAGAGCTGCAGGTATTTCTGTCTACGTGTACAACCAGATTGTGCTACCTGAAACAAGGCCAGGAAAAAAAAAACACACATACTGTTTATGTAAACTATTTCCACAGAAACCAAAACAACCTGTATAGATTGGAACACAGTGCAAACTATGAGTACCTAGAGCATAACCCCCCCCCCCTTTTCCCTTCCCCCATGGCATCAGTTTGTAGTTATATTGAGAACACATCATGTGGATCGTTTTTGGCTGCGTTGCCTTAACCGCAACGTCAGTCTTGAAACATCTCTGCCAGATTTGTCTTTGTCAGACGTTTCTGTGCCAGATGTATGTACACCAGTTTGTCTTTACCAGATGTATCTATGCCACTTGTGTCTATACCAGATGTATCTATGCCAGTTGTGTCTATACCGGATGTATCTATGGCAGTTGTGTCCAAACCAGTGTGTCTGTGCCAGATTGTCTATAACTGATATGGATCTGTGCCAGATTGTCTATACTAGATATGTGTCGATGCCAGATGTGTCTATACTAGATATTTTTCTATACCAAATGTGTCTATGTCATATTATCTATACCAGATGTGTCTATGTCATATTATCTATACCAGATGTATCTATGTGATATTATCTATACCAGATGTATCTATGTGATATTATCTATACCAGATGTATCTATGTGATATTATCTATACCAGATGTGTCTATGTGATATTATCTATACCAGATGTGTCTATGTGATATTATCTATACCAGATGTATCTATGCCAGATGTGTCTATGTCATATTATCTATACCAGATGTATCTATGCCAGATGTGTCTATGTCATATTATCTATACCAGATGCATCTATGCCAGATGTGTCGCTGTCCGATGTCTACTCACATAAATGTCTACTCAAACAAATTTCTACTCACATACGTCTACTCAAACAAATTTCTACTGAAATAAATGTCTACTCACACAAATTTCTACTTAGACACGTCTACTTAAACAAATGTCCACTCATACACGTCTGCTCAAACAAATTTCTACTCATACACGTCTACTCAAACAAATTTTTACTGAAATAAATGTCTACTCACACAAATTTCTACTGAAATAAATGTCTACTCACACAAATTTCTACTTAGACACGTCTACTTAAACAAATGTCTACTCACACACGTCTGCTCAAACAAATTTCTACTCATAAACGTCTACTCAAACAAATGTCTACTGAAATAAATGTCTACTCAAACAAATTTCTACTGAAATAAATGTCTACTCACACAAATTTCTACTTAGACACGTCTACTTAAACAAATGTCTACTCACACACGTCTACTCAAACAAATTTCTACTCACACACGTCTACTCAAACAAATGTCTACTGAAACACATTTCTACTGAAACAAATGTCTACTCACACAGATGTCTACTCACACATGTCTACTCAAACAAATGTCTACTTACACACCGCCTACTAAAACAAATGTCTACTCACACACGTCTACTTTAACAAATGTCTGCTCACACAAATGTCTACTCACACACGTCTACTCAAACAAAATGTCTGCTCACACAGTCTACTCAAACAAACGTGTGCTCACAATAATATCTTCTTACACACGTCTACTCAAACATATGTCTACTCACACAAATGTCTCCTCACACATGTCTACGTACATACGTCTACTCAAACAAATGTCTGCTCACACGAAGAATATCCCCAGACATACCACATACAGTTTATCTCAGCGCATTAAAACATCCATCAGCGCAGCGTGATAACATGCACATACCCCTATTGCTACAGCCATATGTGAAACAAAAAAGTCCGTGTATGTAAACAGTTGACATTACTCACCCTGCTCCTAAAGCACGGACAAAGTTTCTGTACTCACGCACATGCAACAGCTACATTGGTTTCTTTAACAGGGCGTATGTTTGTGTTGTTGTTATTGTTGTTACTGACATCTGACGTGAGTTAGTTCAAAGATAAGTCTACAAAAGATATTTTTGCACCGAAACACCTTCCATATTATGGTTCTCATGTCTTGAGAGTTCCTCTGCACAAATATTGATATAAACTAGGGGGCGTTTTCTCTGAAAGGGGTCTCTGTTAGACCAGCTTTCGGGGATGGTGGGGTCAACGGGCTCCTGTTGATATCGGGTTTCTGTGTGCACACCTTCTCATACAGGTCATGGGAAATATTTCAGTTGATGTTTGATTCTGTGGTACCACACGTGGCAGGAGATTTCTCACCAACCTACCTGCCTGCCTGCTTACCTACCACACTCTGACAGTGACGTCTGCTGCCACAGTCATCTATCCTGCCAGTCGGTCTGTTTGACAGTCTGTCTGTCTGTCGTTCTGCCTGTCAGTCTGCCAATCTGTTTGTCGGTCGGCCTGTCTGTCGGTATGCCTGCCTGTCGACTTGTGTCGGTCAGTCTATCTGTCTGTCAGTATGTCTATCAGCCAGTCTGCCTGCCTGTCGACCTGTCTGTCTGTCTGTCTGTCTGTCTGCCTGCCTAACTACCTACCAGTGGTACCGGAACCTTAGGACTGAGGTACTTTAACTCCCCCCCCCCCCTTTTTTTTTCTCACCACTCTCATGTGTAATGGTCTAAGCGCTTGAATCATTACAGTCCACTGTGGGTGGAGTCACATTTATTTTCGTTCCAGGATACGCGGGTGTCGATGGAGACTAAAGAGCTGAAAGGTTGGATGGATCCGCTATCACTACCGACGGTTAACCTGTGGATCATGCTAATATAAATAATGCCCTCCAAGAAATGGGAAGGGTGGAGAACTTTGGGGGCAGTGAATGCACATCACTCTCCAGAATGATAGACTTGGGAGTTAAGATCGGCATAACAAAAAACGAGACGCACACCAGAG